ATTAAACTACATTCAAAAGGATTGAATATCAAAGAAACTAAACTAAATTCCAGTTCTATAACAGCAATTTTATATCCAGAACATGAATTTTTAGTTATAGTACCTAATGAAGAACTAAATGCTGGAGAATACAAATTACATATATCATTTGAAGGTAGTTTATTAAATAAAATAGTTGGATTTTATCGAAGTGTTTATACAGATTCAAAAAGTCATGAACTACACTATATTGCTACTTCAAAATTTGAACCAACTTATGCACGTTTAGCATTTCCATGCTTTGATGAGCCTCAGATGAAATCAAAATTTAAAATAAGTTTAACTCGACCATCTGGTAATAACTACATAGCATTATCCAATATGAACCAAGAGGTCAATATAACAATTAATAGAGATCAATTCAAATTTCATACTGTTGAATAATAATAATAATAATATTTTAGTCTGAAGAGTTGAATGTACCTACAAATGGATTGACTACTGTTCATTTTGCAAATACTGTCCCAATGTCTACATATTTGGCTTGTTTCATTGTATGCGATTTTCAATCACTTGAATCTGTTAAAGCAGATCAAGGATTTCCATTAACAGTTTATGCCAGAAATGGTCAATCCGAAAATATGAAGTATGCTCAACATGTAGGTCTCAAGGCAATTAATTTTTACGTCAATTATTTTGGGATTCAATATCCATTACCAAAATTAGGTATGTGCTTATAAAAACTTGCAGTATTGAATTTTAAATATATTGATTGTATAATAATAATTTATTAAATTGTTAAGATCTGATAGCAATCCCAGATTTTGTTTCTGGTGCCATGGAACATTGGGGTCTTGTGACATTTCGTGAAACTAGTGTTTTATTTAAAGAAGGCGTTAGTTCTAGTACTAACAAAGCACAAGTAGCCTTAACTGTTGCTCATGAACTGGCTCACATGTGGTTTGGAAATCTTGGTATGTAATTTTTTTTTTTTGTTACTTATATTTTTGCTATACAATCTATAAATAATATTTGCAATAAGCATAAATGATAAATTTATTTATATGATTGTTGAAGAGGTTTTGAGTAAAGAGACCACCCATGATTGCTAGTTTATCATGTCTAGTTGATTTTTTTTTAAAACGTCTAGTAGTTCAAGACATCAATTACACTTTAGTCGTCTACTGGTATCAACAGGTAAAGTAATATTTAATAGGTTAGTAATGAGGGAGTTATGATAGTTTTGTAGATAGGAGTGAAATAACTATAAGAGGTTAAGGTAATATTTTGGATGAGATGGATTAAATAGATCTTATGAGTAGTTAGATACATAAAAAAGAGCTTTAATGATTTGGCGAAAGCGGTGTATAAATATATATATATAAAAAATAAATATATCTAAACCATGAATAATTATACCTAAATACATTTTTTCAGCTACTATGAAGTGGTGGAATGACTTATGGCTTAATGAAGGGTTTGCTTCTTATATGGAATTTAAGGCATTACAAGTTGTCCACCCCGATTGGGATGTTGTATGTATTTTATATATTTATTTGTTTTTTAAAACTATTATTCTTTGTTATTTTTAATTTATTTTGTTAGGACACAATGTTTTTAATGCATAGTCTTCAATCAGTACAAAATCTTGACAATAAACTTAGTTCTCATGCTATAGTGCAAGATGTTTCTCATCCAGATCAAATAACTGAAATTTTCGATGTCATATCATATAATAAAGTAAGTTTATTTAGTTCCAATGTATTACATTTTTTTTTTAATAATATTATTTAATTTCCTAGGGTTCTTCTGTAATACGAATGTTAGAAGGTATGTTGGGTGAAGAAGTATTTAGAATAGGAGTAAGCGCTTATTTGAAACGTTTTGCTTTTAACAATGCTGAAACTGATGATTTATGGGCAGAATTACAAACAGCAACTCAAAATACAGTTGATGTTAAAAAGGTGAAAAATGAGTAGTTATTATTTTGTATAAATTTATAATACTTGATTTATAAAAATAGCTTATGGATACGTGGACACGACAAGCAGGGTTCCCAGTAGTATCGGCAATAAGAAATGGAACTAAACTTACCTTAAAGCAGCAAAGATTTTTCTCTAACCCAAATACTGTTTCTTCAAACAACTCATCTCCATATAATTACAAATGGGAAATACCTATCACTTATACCACTTCAATCAATAAAACTGTACATAAGTTTTGGTTAAATAAAGATGTAGATTCGAGTTAGTATTATGAAGGTGACAAATATTTACATTGATATTAATTACTTATTTAAAAGTTACCATAGATATACCCGACGCTGAATGGATAAAACTAAATCATAGACAAATTGGATATTACATTATAAACTATTCAGAAAATGATTGGTGTTTACTCAATAAATTATTAGAAAAAAATTTTGATGTAAGTTTTTGAATATTTTTTTAATAATCATTGTACTATTGTATAAGAAATGTACTATTTATAGGTATTAAGTGCTGCTGACCGTTCAAATCTCATTCACGATGCCTTTAGCTTAGCAAATGCTAATTATTTACCATATGGCATAGCACTAAACATGACAAAATATTTATCTTTGGAACATCATTATGTTCCTTGGGATGTAGCTGCTACTAATTTAAATGCATTAAGGAACAATTTTTATCAACGTGCAGCATACAAGAATCTTGAAGTAAGAATATTGAATTAAAATTTACAATGGTATTATAATATTATACAACAAAATAGATAAATTATGTCAAGCTTAATTCATGAAATCAATAGCACCATTACAAAATACATCAACCTATTCCAATTTTATGTAATATGTAATACACAAATGATTTTTCTGCAAAATGCATAATTTTGGCAATGTTATCCAATAATGTTACTGTTTTCTACAGGATTGCTACAATTTTAAAATCAGTTATACATTCAATATTATAAACCTAAAAATATTTTTCACCAAAAACTTTTCAAAAGTTTCAAAAAATTTTTATAATTTTATGTAAAGATCTGTTATAGGCATTTGGTAATAGCTAAACAATTTAGAAAGCATACTGTCATAATTTTCTTATACTTATTTACAGTCTTGATAAAATTTATAAAAATCACCTAAATTTGAAATTATATTATAGTTACAAATTTCTAAGATATTACCATTGATTATCAATGATATTACTAATACTGCTACACTAATATATTATTATAAAATTTTATTTTGAATTTTCTATACACAATTATATCTTAAAAATATTACACTTAATTTTTGCTATTTTTATATAATACCATAAACTTATTCAAACCTTTCAATCTTTTAAAGCTAATAACAATCATAGAAATATAATGCATTGATCCACCATCCATCATATCTTAACATTAATTTATTGTATCTCAAGAAAATAGTCGATTTCATAAATTTAACAATTTTACTAATTTGGCACAATTATTATTCTTTATTGTTTATTTAAGAAATATGTACAAAAATTATTGGGGAATATAAAAGAAGATTTTTGGAGTGATTCAACTGACAGAAACTTTTTGCAACGTAGACTTCAAGGAGTTATTCTCAATTTAGGATGTTTATATGGTTTACCAAGCTATCAAACAACAGTATATAAATTATTCAAACGTTTCTTGGATGATAAAGTTCAACCAAATCCAGATATTAGATATACAGTTTATTACTATGGTAAGTAGAATTTTAAATAAATTATTTATTACTATTTAAATCAATTATAAAATTTTTTTGTTCAGGAATGTCTCAAGGTAATTCTAGTGAATGGGATAGATTGTGGAAATTATTCTTAAATGAACAAGAACCTCAGGAAAAAATCAAACTAATGGTTGCATTGACTGCCTCAAAAGAAACATCAATATTAACTAGGTAAATTGTGTATTTAAAATTTAATTGATATTGAATAAAACATATTTTGTTGTTTTGTAGACTATTGCAATATGCAAAAAATGAGAGCTATGTTCGTTCCCAAGATTATTTCATAATTTTATCACAGATAAGCCGTAATCCTATTGGAGCCCAATTAGTATGGAACTTTTTAAGGTAATTATGTATATTTTTTATAATTTAATTTTATTAAAATTAACAATGAAATTTAAAATGTTATTTAATGTAAACTTATGTTATTTTAGGGATGAATGGCAATACTTGGTTAATCGTTTTTCTCTAAATGATCGGGCATTTGGAAGACTTATTCCTTCAGTTTGTTCTAATTTCAATACACATGAACGCCTTGAAGAAGTAAATGTTATATTTTTAATTAGAACTTAATTCTGAATAATGTACTTTTTAACATACTTAATAATTATACATAAATGTACTTTTTTTTTTAGATGAAAATATTTTTTGATAAACATCCAGAAGCTGGAGCTGGAAAAGCCGGTCGAAAAACCGCACTAGAAGTTGTATCTAACAATATAAAATGGTTAGAAAATCATGAAGCTGTTATTAGTAATTGGTTGATTAATTCTATTTAATTTTTAAAAATTGGTTGATTTTTGTTTGTTAATATTTAAAATATCAATATCTAATTTTACAGGGTCATATTAATATTTAATTCATATTAACCTTTTTATTGTTCCCATTCTTAAACTAATATAAAAGGTTTGTTCCTATTTTTATATTCACTGTGTATATCTTAATACAATTAAATAATAGATAAAAGCTTAAAATTAAAAAATAAGTGGTTTTGAGTCATAAATAATTGGACAATTTTCTTCATATTATATTTTTAGTAGCGTAAGATATTTAATTCTATTTTAAATAAATTATATTTAATACAAGAATTAAGAGGTAATATTAGTGAATGAAACAGATTTAAAATAACATTATGTCACTTTTTACAAAATTTAGTATTGTTATATTAGATCTTGTTATTTTTTAAGTTAAACTGAGTAGGATAACACTAGACTTTTATCTTTATTACATCCAAAATAATTTAATACATATTTACTGATACAATGTATATATTTATTAAAACAATCAAAAAATCTTATGGTTCATAATTCATAAAAATTTAAATAAGTAAAAATAATAACTTAATTTATATTTTTAGAATCTAAATATAATGTTTTACAAACTTCTGAAAGATTAAGGTCAGAAACTGTTGGTATACCTCCAGGACGAACTTCTTTAATTGTTTCTCGGGCATATGAATCTGTTAATATTCGGGGATCATTCATAGGTGGAACAAGTAGCATATTAATAGCTGGGTATAAAAGAGCAATGACCACAATGACAAAACATACCCACACAGGTATGGCAATTGCCCAGTACTTCTGTGGTAGGTATGTTAGGCCAATAAATTCCAACCAATGACTCGGTATAAATGCCCATGCTAAATAAACAACAAATGCAGTCTTAGAAGCTAAGTATAAGGCAAACCCATAATTGGCTCGACTTTCGGTTGGCGATGGAGTGTTTTGACGAGTTTCAGAAGTGATCATAGTCAACTGATGAAGTTTCAAGTTCAAATTTTTGTACTACCTCAGATAAAAGTTTAAATATATCTAATAAACCATTAGAACTTGCACGCAAAGATTTAAGTTCTGTTGATTCCAGTTTACTGAAAAAAAAAAATGTCTTTTACTACCTATAAGTTTATAATGTAAGGAGTATAAATCACTAAATTGTAATACTTACACATTTACAAATTTATCTGCTATATCACAAATTTTTTTAACAGATTTATTTGGCTCTTTTTCTACTCTAATAGCATGATAGATAGCTCTAGCTCGATGAGGAGTTCCAGCATCAAATTTAAGAGTTCTGAGATTTTATTATTTAGGAAAAAATTTTTTAACAGATAATTAGATAGTAACATTAACATATAATACAATCAATTAAATTTTATACAAACATAACTATATTAGAATTGATGATAAATAAATTAAAAAATATTTCTTTTCAAAGGATGTTCAAAAAAATAACTTTTCTCGACAAAACAATTTTGGCCAATAATTTTATAATGTGGATCCACAACATTGTGTGGAGCATCTAGTATTTCATTTACTCTTTGATTGCACTGTTCACGAATACTGTTGCAAAATACATTGGCAAAAACTAATTCTGTAGGATATAGTTGAGTATTTGAATTATAAAGTTTTTGCGATACTCTACGTAACACAGCTGCTAAAGCAAACAAATCCATAGCAACACTGTTAACCCTTTCGAGTATCATTTGGTAATAGCAAGTGTCTGGACCAAGATTGATAAACATATTCTGAACACCAAATTGTAATCTACTCAAACAATATTCTAGATCCAATGCCTGTTTCTTGAGTGACGGATGTAAGTGCTTCTCAATGTAATGATTCAATTTTGGTTTATTTTTCAACGATCGTTGAATTCTCATAATATGACTTAATGTATACTTGGGAAACATAAGTGGATTTCTTAATTGTTTCACATCTTCTGCCATAAACTGCCCAGCATACTGAATGCCAAGTAGTGCACCAACAATCGGTAATAAATTTGATTTACCTTCAAATAATAACGAGTTTTCAATATATTTAAATGACTTCTTGGATAGACCCAAATCATTCAACAAATTTAAACAACTACGTGTTGTTTCGCTAACAAACAAACGAGCAAGAATCAACTCATAGTCACTCTTAGGGTTGTAAGTATCTAATAATAGACTAGTAAATTCCAGAACACAGTCCATAGTATACAAATGACTATTAAGCTTTCCTAGTTTAATCAAACTGGATCGATCATGGGAATGGAAATTTTTAGAAGTTTTTTCAACAATACTTTTTACTTCACCTAATGTAGCAGAAGATGATTCCAATAAATCACCATTAAACAACATTGTATAACAGTTATGGCCTTCATTTTCAGATCCTAATATACAATCGGCTTCAACATTTTTAAAAGTCACATTATAATGATTTCCTTCAGAAGTAATTTTAATGCCACTATTTTGTGATTTCTTAACTAAAAAGGCGGTGAAAAAATTTTGTTCACTCTCTGGACGATTGCATTCATCCATGGTTTTAGCAAGTACTAAAAACATATCGGCTCGTTCTCCATTCACTACCCATTGTTTTGAGCCATTTATCACCCATTTCCCATTTTTTTGAGAGGCTTTAGTTTCAGTGTTTTGAATATCATGTCCATATTTGCTTTCATAAATACAAAATGATGCAATACACTCACCAGAAGCCAGTTGAGGTAAAAACTTTCTTTTTTGTTCATCTGTTCCAGTCGTATTAATGCACTTTACAACACTACCATGGGCAATATATTCTCGTAAGTCAGCAAAATTAATTCGCTTATAAGCTTCCGAAACTGAAGCTGAAGACAATTCTAAACCTCCAAATTCTTTGGGCACACAAACACCGAAGAGTTCATCCAATTTCGGTAAGTTGACTTCTTTGGTATTTATAGCAAATGCTGCTTTTACAAAATTTCCTACATATAAACTTTTCGCAAAAGAAGGCAACTTTTGATCAACAGTATTTCCATGAGGATGGGACTTGTTAGAAACAACAGCGGCGGTTTGCGAGTAATAGCGACACAGAGAGCTAATCTTAAATCTATATAATGACATGATAAATATATTATTATATAATTTAATGTAACTTATACTACTGAATTAAGGATACACGGTGTGCAATTTTTCTTCAACTAGTTCAACCGGAACTCCTAAAGACATCGCAAATTAAACACAATTGTAAATAATTATTAATCTACAACTTTAACAGTTTAACACACCAGTCACAAATGTATAAACTATAAATTATTAAAATAAATAAAATAATATAATTTTTTATTTTGTTTTGTTAGGTTAGAAATATGATTAACCGGTAACCATAGATAATATAGGATCTTATCTTTCTATGCCGGTAACAAGAAATTGTGTAACATTTTGGATTGTTAAAAAATTGGATCTAGTCACAGATATATAAAAATTTTATACATATATCTGTGGATCTAGTTTTTACTTTAAAGAGATGAAAATTGTATAATATATATATATATAAATTCCCATTATTTATTTATTTCGAAAAAGATAAAAAAAATTAATGAAAATGCTAGTTTCAACGTAATGCTAATTTTTGATAAAATTAATTTAGTTTTTTTTTTTAACTAAAAAACTATAATCGTAGATACTTTTACCAAATATTTAAATGATAATTTCCTATAAATAATATAATTTGTAAGCTATTTATAGAAATTTTCAATTATTTTTTCATATATATATATAAATGTTGATAAAATATTTAAAACACTTGATAGAAATAGTTAACAATTTGATACAAGATTTTTATTAGCCAATTAAAACATTTCAAAAATTTATAGGTAGTCATAATATTTATTCATAAGCATTTAAATTTAGAGTTTTGATGAAATTTATGAAATCTCGAAAATTTTCAAATTATTTTGTAGTTCAAATTCATAAAAATTTTTATTTTTATATTCGAGATTTAAAATTTAATATAAGGTTCTTTATATACGTTTTCAACCTATTTAATAAAAAAAAAAAATTCTACTTACATAGTTACATGACAAATTCATTTTTTAAGTGGTTTAAGTTTTATTAAACTTAAAAGAATATGATAAAATAAAAAATCTCTGTAAATAATAATTTAGAAGTATAAATAATAATTAACATTGTTAATTACATTGTTTAAATACATAAATTTTGTCTAAATTTGGATTTTAAATATCTGTAGAAAAATCGTGATTACCTACCTATATATTTATTAGATTCTTTGATTTCAATGTGAACTCCTTAAAAGAAATTGTGTATTAAATTGCTAATCCTAGCTATGAAAATTGTTTATTTTATAAATTTTAAAAAACAATCTTAAAATGTTCGTTTTTAGTGAAAATTTTAAATATCTACAATTATTCGTTTTTTATTATTACAAAGTATCTTAAGTATCATATACCGTTTTAAGAAAAGTTATTTTAGTGTTTACGAATTTCAACCTAGCTATATTATAAGCCTATAACCAACGACTACCTAACAGAATTAATACCTACATAAAAATGGTTAGATCTTAGATACGCCAATAAGCGATAATAAATTGTCCATCAATTTCAAAAAATTAAAGCATTAAAGCTTAGGTTTATAAATAGATTGACGATTTTATATATCTAAAGTTATACGAGGTAATCTTAGAAACGTTTAAGTAATCAAAATAACTTAAAACTATAGATATTTTTTTATTTTCAAATTTCTTATTTTGATTTAATGTTTTTTTTCTTAAATTTTATGTGGAAAAATAATATTTGAAAACTGTTGAAATAATTTATAATGCAGGACTGTCAGCTAAACTACCCCGATTGGCTATCAAAGTAAGATTTAAAAAGTAACGTCCATAGCGGCAAGCTTAGGCTAAATTTTGAAGAAGCTTATGACGTCAAACCACTGAAAAAAATATTAATAACTTGTATGTCCTCTTTTGGGGCTCTGAAATTTGCATTATATGCAATATTCACTATAGTATTTTATAAGGTAAGCAGTGCGTCCAGTCCACTAATATGCCCATATCACTGTGACACTATATTATTTTTATCAAGTGTGTGTGTTTTTTTTTTGTAAATAAATACAAGTTAAGTTGTTGATAAAATGTTTAGATTTTAAAATATGAGGGTGGTTTTGGATATAAAATTCTATCTAGTATTTTAAAAAGGTCGAACTTAAAAATTCTCAGTATTTATTTTTACAATTGCTAAAAATAAACAAAAAAAGAATAAAAGGAAAACAGAAATTTTTACGCAATTCCAATTTTCAGCAAAATTGATTTTGGTTTTTTTTATGTAACTCATCAACGAGTAACCGGAGACACCAAAATAAATATTTGGTATATTTTCTATTTTTTTTTTGGAATTTTTTGTTTTAAATGTTAATAAAAATATATTTATTAGGTTAAAATTCTTAAAAATTCAATACAAGATTCCACAAAACTTATTTAAACATATATAAGTACAATTTTTTTTTATAATATGTATTTAATGTTAAAATTTTGATGTAAAATATTGCAATCTATTTTTTAGTTAAAAATGCATAAAAACTTTTCTTTTTGTATCTAGCTTTTGAAAGTTTAATACAAAATTCTTTATAAATAAAATATGCTGAAACCATAAAATCTAAAAATGTATTGACCATTATTTTTATAAAAATTTTAAGTTCCAATTTAGACGAAATTATTTATTAAAATGATAAATAACGAGTTGTTAATTATTTTGTTATAATTTGAAAACAATAAACGTGGAAATTTACACTTTTATGTATTTTATTTTATTATGAGTTTTATTGCATGCAATAAAATATTTTATTTATTTAAAAAAATTTTTTTATTGATACTATAAATATATTTTTACTGTTTTCGTTTATTAACAGAAAGATGTTATTAAATTTTGTGTTATATTAGTTGATATAATATGGTATAATTGTATAAATGTGTAATAAAATAATAAAATATGCAATATTTTCGGAACAATTTTTATCAATCTACTATAGTAGGTAGGTACCTACTAAAAGTTATACCATTGATTATAGAATATACTATAGTATAGTATATTATAGTATATTCTATAATCAATGGTTATACTGAAAGTATATTATTAGTATATATTTTAATTGATGTATTAAAAAAAATTATCACTTGACACCTATATCTATGTATGTATATTTATGTATATTATCAGCGTGGTAACTGAATAGAGTAACTATAACATAATAGATAAGAGTCTTATCTGCATCGTGGTAGTCGCTAATCACTGTATAAGATAATAATATGGCAGTACTGACTCTGACTACTGAGTACTTACAGTTACAAATTCTCAATGTTCTGTGTTCAGTGTTCAATGTGTTCATTCTATACTCTATAGTTAACAAAAAACTGTCACCATTTACAATAAATTTTGTAACATTTTTCTATTTCATAATCTTATCCTTTGTAGTCGCTTACTGTTTTTTATTCCATAGGATATATGCATTTAGTATTTCGGTATTCATTCTTTATAATTAATAACTCTCTATGATATGGAACAATTGATCTTAAATCGTTTATACTTTACAAGTAAAATACCAATATGATCTGCTTGGTTGTATTAGTGTATAATTTTATTTTTCAATAGATTATAATAATATTATTATTTGTATTTAATGTTTGAATTTAAGGTAATGAATAACCATTTTGAAAATTAATTTAGTCTAAAAATTTGGTGGATGTGTTATAATTTTTGTTCTTATGTGATGTACCTCGCCAAGCTTCAATAATAACTCTATAAAACGATATTCTAGTAAATATGTATCAATTTCAAAAAGATTTTAGTGCTATTATTTTAGATGAAATAGCACTTGAAGGTTTAGATGGGATCACTATCGAAGGTATAAGCTCTTACTGAATAATACCTTGTCTTGGGTTAAATATTCTAATGGATATTCTGTTTGTATTCTGTTTAATAGCTTTGTGCAAGAGATTATCAAACAATTGTAATTGGCCCTTAAAACCAGTCGATGATTCAATTAAAAAGATTATCTGGTCATTTGTAGTTTGTCTGAAGAATGTAGATTTCTATAAACTTGATAAACCTAGAGATCCTTTGATAATATTTAATCGATTTGAATATGTTCATAGTGAATTTGGTTCGATTTATGAACCGGTATGTATTTTAGTAATTTTTATATTTAAATTTTAACTTCTTATTCAAATTGATCATCAGGATAATATACCACAAGACATTTACCCAAATTGTCCTGTTGAAGATGGCACAATTATGGGATCATGTAAAGAATATTTTACAAGATTTAATCTAGCATCATTCCCAAGAAAAATATCAGTTGAAGAAGCAGAAAAACGGTTTGTACATTATTAAGTACTATTCAACTACGAACAATTATCAACAGTTGTATTATTTCTTAGATGGGGTAGGTGTTTGGTTATAGTCGCCAATCAAGAAGTACGCACAAAAGCTTTAATTCCAGAAGATAAACAATGTACCTTAAACATATCGGTTCGTTATTATTTAATATTAGAGAGAATTGGCCGTTCACGTTATTTAGGAGAAGCATCTTATGGTACTCATTCATTAAGAGCTGTTTTTCCAGATTCCAAAGCATTATCTTATATAAGAAACCGATTAACTGATGATGGTTTGATAAAAAATCAAGTAAATTCTGATCCCTTCACATTAATTTAAAATATAGTTTTTGGTTTTAATATTTCCATTAATATTTTATATGATTTAAAGGCTGTTGCTTTTTCTGGAGGCAGTACACAAGTGGCTAATCGTATTGTTATTTCAAGTTTGAAACGATTTTTCGTTAAACGACAATCTATGATTGATGTAATGGTGTCAAGAATTGTAGATTATTTGAAATCACAACCTAATTCATTAGCTTCATACGATCAAGTAAAATCTGAATGCAATATTAGTTTATCAAAAACATTTAAGCAACCTCAGATTAAAAAAATATGTGATACCAACTTAGTAAGGCAGATTTATCCACTTAAATGAATGTTAAAAATTTTTATTATGTGAAAAACTATTATTTCAGATGCTCAAGTATCGTGAGTTATATCCAAATGCTTCTGAAAGTGAATATTTATATAAGAAAGAACCTAGAAATGAAAAGATTATAAGATGTATAAAATTAAAGAATAGTGAAGATACAGAAGAACATGTAGAGATTAAAACTGCTGTTGAAGGTTAGTCAAAATCGTTGAAACCTCAAAACTTTTCCCCTGGTACCTAGAATTTCCTATTTAAACAATATGAAAAAATCTTGTTTAACTCA